AGTATGTATACTATAATATATTTAGATTTATTTAGATTATTATTCATTATTTTTAAAAATTTGTTTGTTTTTTTTTTTTTTTTTGTGATCCGGTTGTTTTTCACGACGGACCATGATTTACCTCCGGTGCCATGTATTTAAAAATTTAAGTATATATAAATATCATAATAAGGTTATCACGGGGATCCAACAACGGTTTGCCGAGCGGGAGACTTTTGTGTTTTGTTTTAGCTATTTAATTTTGATAAAAATGATCAGTAATTGAATTTTTCGTTTCGTCGGTGCTGCTCGAATCGTAGTATAATATTATGAATATGTAATGTAAATAATGTAAAATAAAAATAAAAAAAAAAAAAATAAAAAAAATAATAAAGAACCGGGAGGCCGGTCTAGTCAAATCTCCTCACCCTCGTCACCCCCGACACGCCGCGTAATAAGCGATACGCGATTGTGCCGCGTAAGTTTCATTTCGTTTCGTTTTGTTTTTTTTTTTTTTTTTTTTTGCTGTCCGGGTTTAGCCGACCGCGGGGATCCGTTACGCGCCACCTATCGCGCGCCTCTACGAATACGTATGAAATTATACCGTGCCGATCCGCGAACGCGGCGACCGAATTAAATACAATTCGCACCGTGTTGGCCCCGCCGCGGCGACCGTATTTTCGCGGGGCAGTACGTTGTATATTATTGGGGTTTTTGTTATTTTCTTTTTTCTTTCTACTCTACTCCGTTTCCTCCGCAGACGCTCGTGTAATGATTTCCCCCCCCCCACCGCCCCGATTACCCGACCGTTCTTTACCCGTATGGCACGTTGAAACGCGTACTATATATATATACGTATTATTTAAAAGTGGAGGAAAAAAAAGAAAATAAAAATAAAAAACCACATTTTGTTCGTATATTATAAACTATAAGAAAATATTATATTATACATAAACATATATAAATATATAAATATATATACATACCTATTTTGTAAAGAGGGCCTAATGTCTGATCTCTGTACAGCGTAAATGTTTTTTTTTTTTTTTTCTCTCTCTCTCCGTCTTGATATTTTTATTTTCTACGGCGCGTAATATTATTATTATTATTATTATTACGGTGTGCACCTCGCCCTGACCGAACAAACCCATATAATATATATAAATGTGCCGTAAATATGTACGCGCACGTGAACTTGTTTTTTTTTTTTCCCCCCTTAAATTTTGTTTGTTTTTTATTATTATTATTCTAGATTTCTAATTTTATTTTTTAGACTATTACCTATTATTATTATTATTATTATAATATTATATTACCTATATATATATATATATATACTGATAAGTAATATTGTAACCCCGCGCGCACGTTTGCGTGCGACGAAAAAGTTTAAATTTATTATTATTATTATTATTATTATTATTATTATTATTATTATCATATAACTATTTAAGAAAAAAAAATAAAATAATATCCGTTTCGAAGAGTGAAAATAAACGTTTCAGTTTACCGATTATAAAATGTTTCGTGAAATGTATTACTTTTTTCTATTTTTTTTTTCCCATTCCCGCCTCGCGTATTCCTTTTATTATTATACACACGATCGCCGTCCTCGTGATGGCGCGCGCGTGTTGTTCACGTATATTTGTTGGTGGTACGCGCGCCGCACGTGTCACGTGTGTACACACCGATCGATTTTTACACCTATGCATTGTTATACCGTGTTCCTTATTATTATGATTTTTTTTTTTTTAGCCATTAATTTTTAGCGTTCCACCGAGGGGTGTCGGTGTTACATACATATATATATATATACGTGTGTACCTCTGCATTAATACACTCGTACCCACACGTGACTATTGGCGCGGCGATTCGGTAAAGAACAACCCCCCCCCGACATCGATTAGTCGCCGCGCCGCGATTTTTTCCGCGGAGGAGGAGGGGGGAGGGCAAACAGGGCCCCCCTCCCCCCCGCGATACGTGTACGCGGATGATTCAACGCTGCCAACGACGGAGGCCGGTTGTTTTTTGTTTTTTTTTTTTCTGTTTCTTCGGTCCGCGCGAGTAACGGAACGGCGACGCGGCGCGTTTCGGGCGGATTAATTAATAATCGGTGTCGTGCACCCGCCCGAAATCGGATTTTCGAATATTCCGGTTTGCGGACGCGCCCGGCGTGCAATCGCGCGTTTGGTCACAACGCTCTGTGCGCGCGTCACAAGGGTGGCCCGCGTGCGACAATAATATTGTTTTCAGTCGCTCTGCGGCCCGAGTTGACGGCGATACGCTATCACCGAGTCCGGTCCTTCAGCTCGTGGCGTATTTTAACGGGACTGGGGCCTAGTTCGGTCCGCGAGAGCATTTTCCGTCGGTAATGGTATTTGGGGTGGTTCGCGCCGGAGATTGTGCACGGCGGTTTTCGCTCGGTGTGACCTGTTATTTTTTTTTTTTTTCTGTCCTTCTCCTCTTCTCTGGCGGACAACCGGAATAATGAAAAAAAAAACGAGTAAAAGACCCGCGATATTATTACTATTATCATTATTATGGCGACGGCGTCGCCGTCTGCGGGTTATTATTATATTTTGCGGTCGTACGCGGAGAAACCGTAACACGTACATGTATAATACACACGGTCTTTTAATATTTTAATAAAAACTGACAAGGGTCGCTGCCCACACCCCCTCGTACCGGCCGTGTTTTATACAGTCGTCGGCGATCGTGCCGCCGTCGTCGGATTCGCATACGTGCGGTTTTCGAAAACATAACAATATCGCCTGCTCTGCGAACCTTTTTTTTTTTTTTTTTTCTCTCGAATTTAACCCGGCGAGGCGCACACGCGAACACAATATAAAAGGGTTCGGTGTTCACAATGCGTACGCGGTCGCCGAAGCCCGTGACCGTGCAGTAGGTATCTGGTAGGTAACAATAAAAATTCCGTGTGAATTTCGTCCGAAATATAATATACATGTGTCGCATCCGTTTATGGCGAAACCGTGTTCTTTTCACGGAGATAATAAAGTCGACGGCGTACACTCGCGCGAAACCAGATTTTGTACGGATTATGGATACATTTCGTACGAGATAACGATTTTTTTTTTCCACCCCGAACACAATAAAGGAAAACACTTCGGGACGTGAACGCCTATACGAGATATAATATATAACCGTATTTATATTCGCGATATTTCGGACAACAAAGTGTAGATACGTCCGTACATCGTTTCCTCTTCATCTTCATCATCAGTTTAATAAATAATTAGTTCCGAGGTCACGCACCCCTACTAACTTTTCCGTCAAGTTACGGATGTTAGGAGAACGCAGTGGGTCAAGTGCATGTGGTAATTATTGGAAACGAAATGTGCAGCACGGTCTATAAAACGTTTGTAATAACTGTACGTGATCGTTTTTTTTCCCCTGTACAATCGCCTACGTTCAATACTTGATTGTAAATTTTCAATTCAAACATCAATACACAGGCACTCTATGCCCCATTACGCGCTGAATGTGGAAACGTAAAAAATTCCGAAACAAGCCATTGCGTTCTAACAATATTCAAAAAATAAAAATCACTCGGTTTTTACATTTGTACGCGTTTTTTTCCCCCCGATTATTCGTGAAACGTAAAATACGCGTTTAAACAATAAAACGATTATCGGTCGCGGATAATCATATCCAAGAGGTACCCGCGTACAAAATTAACAAGGCAATTAAAGCGTAATGAGTTATTAATAAGGGGTTACTCGAAATATATTAATATTACGTTACGACGAGTCCGCGACATTCAATAAAAACTACATTAAAACAATTACGATGACGTATAACAAGGTATTTAATATCATTGTACAATTGGGTATAACACAATATACGAGACGGAGTTGTAAAAAAAATGCTAATGTCTCGGGCACGTAATGTATAGGTAGGTAGCATTATAAGTATCTATAATTATAATGTAATACGTTTTCGCGATACATCATTATAATAATATCCACCGGGGGGGGGGCGAAATAATATTAAAACGATCGACATTTGTACAATATACTTATCGCGTTAATTGCTTATAGGCACTTCTTATTACGACGCCAATGAGTTTTAGTAATACTCGTAATATTATTCAGCTATTGCTTAAAATATATAAAATTCGATATAATGCACTCGACCTCTTCCACAAAAAAAAAAAAAATGCATAAAATATTACATATTAGTTTAATTATCTATATACGCATTAAATTTTACATAACATTACATAGCTATTCGTTACTTAGATCATATCGAATATCTTAACTGAATTGTTAACGATCGGAAGAATTTTGAATAACCGAACGAACAGTTTTCCGAGAGTACAAATCGTACCGTTTTAAAATTTAAAAAAAATACTGTAATAGTCAAGTACCGCCGGATAGAAATTCTGCATCTTCCGAGGTTCTGCGTAAAAAAATATCAGAAAAAGTATTGGTAATTTCGGTAAGGTTTTCAGAGTACTGTCTGGTGGAAAATGACATAATATAGCACTATATATTAAAATTGCATAACGAACTGCACACAGTTGATTTTAGATCCCGGTTAGTATTTAATGTATTCATCGTTTAACAATTTTTTTTGTTAATATAATTAATATAATTATTTACGGAAATATTCGAATATTATTCGCGGCACTTGGATTTGGGAAAAAAATTACGAGGACGAACGGTGGTTTTAGTTTAGAAATCATCATCATCGGTTCCATACCAGCTGAACGTCACAGTGATCCGAGGGGTCTTCGACTCTCTCACTCCCAACACACATAAAGTAAATCAAGTGATTAATATTGCAATAAAAAAAAAAAAAAAAAACTGAAAATGTAAAAATACTTCGCTATTAGATCTTTTTTCTGGGGCTGCAGGGAAAAGCGGTCGAAAAATAGGAAAATTAAATATAAAACGAGGAATCGGTTATCTGTAAGTAAACATATAAGTCATACGCATCGGTTTTCGGTATATTTTGACTTTTTTTCTTTCAGATTGAAAACCGAATTTTAATTTTGGATAAAATTATATATAATACAAATAAAAACAGACTCTTTTGACGAACGCGTTCCTAGGTCAACTCAATGAAGTGGTACGCTAAAATCTATGAAAAAGAGGAAAATAAACTCCGTTCGCCTGTGTCCTCCCTCCAATTTATCCATTTGTGTATACTTAACATTTTATAGTTGGTTTTCGCGAAAATAGATAATTGGTGATTTAACAATTCGAGGAGGGACGTCCGAGTGCACTTAAATTATGCAAATGGGAGATTTGGCGCACGCATAGGAATCAAACTATAGACAATAATTTAAACAAAAATCCAATAACGATAAAAAATTTAAACTAAAAACCGAGACAGTGATATCGTAGACGATCTATCAAAAGAGACTATCTATCTATATGTACGGGAAACGGCAAATTTGCATTAGCCATACGTATATTACGTCACATTAAATGCACACGGGTTTATACACAAAACATTAATTCATATCCAAAATTTCACCTATACAAAAACAAGAACACACATTCAAAATATTAGGGGTCATTGGCGATGTACTCATATTTTGAATTCGAGAATATTGTAGGCACTGGATTCGACTTTTAAAAAACTATAGGCAGCAATACATGCAGTTGTACATAATATTAATAATTTATTATATTTTAGAGAAGTTGTACGCATTATATTCGGTACTGAAACGTAACTGGGTTGATTTTAAACGTTTTACGCAACATTAATGTATCCTTTTCGGTTCAAACGACCAAATCCAATACTGTTCCAAGGAATTAAGTGGCTTAAGTGTGAACCTAAAACCTAGCTCCTAGTCGACGAATAATCATGACGGGTTAACTATTTAATATTTATCTATACCGTTTGGACTGAACTCAAACAGGATCTGTAAATACGCTTCCGGAGGACGGTTTTAGAGACGGTTACCATGGATATCGTATTTTTTTTTTCATCGTCACTATATTACAAAGTACTTCCGGAAAAACTCTAATCGTTTTCGTTTTCGTGTATTCGGTGCTCGTCATTGGCCGCCGTGGACATCGTTTTCTTTTTTACTATCTACTGTGAGTAGGTGTACTACCTATAGGTACCATGTGTATATGAAAAAACTGGAACCCGCTAAAAAAAATCTCTGTTGACAAAATGGCGTCCATAATACCCGTGTGTTTACGGCCGGGAAATGGGTTAAGGCGGTGCCTTTGAGATATAATGTAGCGTTAAAAAAAATATAATACTGTTACGTTCTCAAAAATGGCCGGAGCTGCCAATAATATACCGGCAGTATCTCCACCGGCAACGTATGTACGGGGGGATCGGTTTTTTTCATTCTTTTTACCGAGTATATATCTAGCGCGTGTATAAAAAAACCGGAACCCCTGTATAAAAATCGAGAAAAAAAACCGACAAAATGGCGTCTCCCGGGAAATGGGTTAAGCCGCGACAAACGAGGGGAGCAGTCTCGTTTTTTACGTAAGTATAGTGTTAAAAAAAAAAAACTGTTACA